TAAGAAAATATTTAGTTATAATATCTTCAATTTTTTTATACTCTCAACAGTACAACTGTGCGTCCAAGCAATACTGTGTCGGTTTCAAGTGGACCACCAGGTACTGCAATAGGTACACCATTTTCCGGCTTAGTACCGTCGGCACCCTACAGTGCCGTGTCTGTTTCATCAACCACGCTAGCAGCGACCACGTTACCAACTTCACATTCAGCTCTTCCTGTTACGGGTCATGGCATATCCTCCTATACCACAAAGACAGGGCTCTGGTTAAGGTATGATATTTCGTATTAAATTATGTGATACATAATATATAATATAATTTCAGCCAATCAGCTATGCAGCCAACAGCAATGACTTGTACGCCATCCATTCCAACTGTTACTAGTGGCAATGTTCGACCACTTCCCTCTCCTTTAAGCTCAGGTGTCATAGGAGCACTAGGTCGAGTTGCTGGAAATGCTACTTCACCTCATGCGGCTCATTCAACTGCGAGCAGTGGACATGCTCCAATAGCAAACTTTCAGACCACATTTTTTGCTGCCCCCCAAGCACCATTACATTCATCTTCTTCTGCGAACATTTCAGTTGGAAGTAGTATCAACTGCACTGTTTCCCATATACCTTTGGTGTCTTATACAACTGCCGTTATTGCAGCAATGGCTACAGTAACAACCACGACACCTTCTATCAACACAGTGGGTAATACACAATCGACTGTACCAACTGTCTCCACAGCTGTTGCGTCTACACCACATCCATTTTCTGCAGAATCTCTCTTCCAACCAAGTAAAAGTATGAATGTCTAACATAGTAATCTATTGCATATTAAAATAATCGTGATATTCTATCATTTTATATTTCCTTTAAATAGACGATCAGGCTGACTTATTGCGCCGTGAGCTTGACAGTCGATTTTTAGATCGTTCTGGCTTATCCCAGCCATCTCCATCGTCGTCTTCAACGTATTTGCGTCAAGATTTGCATCATCAACATCAGCATACGCACCTGCATCAACATCCACAACTTTTATCTACAGCTCCAATGTCCTCCTCATCTACTGTAATGCCGGTTACGCCGCCGAATCCAACACAAATTTTTCCTCCACCGTTATTTAAGGATATACCTAAAATTGCTGCAGTCGACCAACAGTTCTATCGTGCAAGCATTGGAATTCCCCCTGGTTATACGGGATATAATCCAACAGGGGTTTTGCACAATGGCTTGGGTGGCCCAACGCCATTTGTGCCACCTAATCATTTAACTTCATTTGCACCAAAGGTAAGCACACAAACACGAAAGATATTTAAATGATGTATACATTTAATATACATATATTAATTTAGTCAAGTAAAAGCGATCAACCGTGAATCTTGCATATTTATATGCATAGTAGTTTAAGAAATAAATTTTTTGCATGTTTGAGGAGGGAGTGAAGGGGGCTGGGTCATAACGAAGATGAAAACTCTATCAAATAAACAAGAATCTATGTTTAAAATTTGGAGACTAGCTTTGAAGAGGTTGGAGATAAATAATATCTCCTTTTCTATAAGGTTTTTAATTCATATCAATTAAAAGTTTTGAAAACATACTCGATAAGCGGGTTGTATATACGTACTTATAACTGCAAGTGTGTCAATTTTTGCCACCTTACACACACTCAATAAAATTTGTGTGCCGGTGTCACTCATTACTGGCTCAGCAAATCATAAACACTCACTCATGCAGGCAATATCTGGCTGTCCCTCACAACAATGTACCGTTTTCTTTTTGCTTGTCACCCAAGTATTTTTCGTCAACGTAAGAGAAAAAGCGAAAGTGTGAAGAGAGCAATGGGCAATAAATAGAAGTAGACAAATCACATGTACATATGTCACTTAAGTGGTTTACAGGCACCATGGTGTGTGTGTTAAAGTAACGGTTGTTTTGATTTTGCACTAGCTTCTTTTTAGCTTCCTAAATTGAAAATAAAATAAATCGTGTTTTTATTTCTCTTATGTCAAACTTTAATATATTTAGTTTGATAATTAAATTAATGCGCTGAAGCATTATGTTTATTTAATATATTAAATGAATGTAAAAAAGTTATTTTTGATTTAAATATTGTTTTTTGTTTTCTATTTGTTCCTATTGTGCCCACATTTCCAGCAGCAAGTACGTAAAAAACAACTCAACCGAAGGAGTGCACAAAAGTAACTTTAACATCGGCAACACACACACACGTTGTATGTCTAAATTTTTGTGTATCTCTTTTCACCCAACCTTCTTTCGACGCTCAATCGCCGGCATATGCAAAAAAAACTACTAACTAGCGATTGTACGCATTTGTGCGGTGGTTGAAAACATCCGGGTGTCAAAATCACTCAACATTTACCCGGTGCACCTTAATTACCGGTGAATTGTTGCAGTTCTCTGGTACTTATCAAAGGAAAATTTCATGTTTCTAGCTCAAATTTCATCTGGGAGCGACGTGTTCAAACCTTGATTTCCCATTTTCAAGGAGTTCAGGGTATAATATACTCAATTTCATGCTCAGAACGAACAAGTAAGAAGGCTTTAGTCGAGACTGTTCGACTAGGAGATACCCTGAACCCTCCAAGCTGATATTCTAATCATTCTACATTTCTTTTATGCACACATACATACAAGTGCATCCCAACCCGCCCGTGCTCTGCTAACTGCGTAATGAGCAGCGACTGCGCGTGGGCTGCGCTGCAGTGTGGGCAATATTATGAGAATTTACTTCTTGAATAATTTTTGTAAAAGGACTATCTTCATGAAACTTTCAGAACGTGATCATATGGTTATAATATGTGTACATTCCAAAGCAGTAGTCTCTAGTACTTGAAACACGTTTTTTTACAAAAGGGGCGTCGTATCTAAAATCTGTAAATTACAAAATGTTTGAATTTATCAAATGTCAATGTTATCAAAGGTAAATCTGAAGTCCTCAGGTCAAATAGTGTTCAAATAAAGCTGAAAAAACAAAATCAATTTATTGATTATTCTTTTAAATAAAAATTGGATGAGTTATCGAAAAAATATGATAACCTCGCACTGCGTATGGTATACACAAGTATGCATTCAAGTCTCTAGCTCTCATAGCTCCTGAGATCTAGGCGTTCAGGCGGACAGACGGACAGGGCTGTATCGACTTAGATCGTCGCCCTGTTCAAGAATATGTATACTGCCTGTTGTATACTTTTCACAAAACCATTATACTCTTCTTTCCCACTTTCAATGGGTTCATGGTATAAAAATTGTTGCAGAAAGCATCAATCTGAGTAGCAGGATTATTTATTGGATGTTCGGTTTTTTAATTTTCACTTGCATATATATATATATGGTATACTTGAATTGTTTATAAAACAAATTAGTCAGCAGGATTTTTTTATCGAGTAATACAATAGCTAATAATGAATATAGTTGTAACTTTGATCGTTTTTACTGAGTTTTTTCCCACAATCTGAAGTACAGTTATTCAATTTGGCATAATATTTTCAAGCTTGCTGCCACTTTACCTGTCGCCAACCATCCGCTTTATCAGTAGCTAACATTTAAAAATTTGCATAAAATAAAAATATCAACGTTTAGCTAATAGGCTTATCTATTTCCGTAATTAGAAAACAGGACGTTGGAACGCTATGCACGTCCGCATTGCGTGGGAAATTTACTATCACCAAAATAAGCAGAATTCAGAAAAGCCCATGCTAGCCGGAGGTTCTACTCTTGGCAACAATTGTAGCATTGGTAACTCAGGAACTTCTAGTGTACCTAATAACACAAATAGTATGATCAGCACCACGGCCGTCGGCTTATCTGGAAACAACAGCGCTGCTTTACCCACCAGCGGAGCCGTGGTTGTGGCAAGTGGATCTGCAGCTTCAGTCAATATGAAACCATTGCCGTCAGTGACCCTGAATTCAGCATCGCCACACCTCTTACATCGGTCGTCTGAACTTACGTCTGTTGCGGCGTTTGCCAGATCCCCATTTGAAGCTTCACCACTAGCTGCAAGTTTTATTGGAGCACCACCTAGTCATATCGGTAAGATTTTACTGAAACAATTAATTTAGCCATGCTTTTATTTATAAAAACTTGACAGGTACAGCTGTTTCTCAATTTAGTCGATATGTAGGATCATTTGGATTTGCCGGCCTATCACATTTTGGACGAGATATTTCATTGAGTGGACATTTGGATACATGGCGGTAAGTTTATTTTACTATTTTTTGCGTGAAAATTTTGAATTACAAGGTGCTCTATCATACAATTTTACTAAGATACATACTAAAGTACAAAGTTTACTACATTTGCATCGAAAATTCGATTCAATCGTCTCTATTAAAAAATACGAGATAATAAGCAATAATTATTTTTTAAAAATTGTTTTCAAACTATAAAAGCAATAACTAATTTAAAAAAAAAAAGGCGATTTGAGTATGCTATAGCAGTATATTGTCCGACCTACAACAAATTTCAAGTCCCTACCTCATATTGGCTCTGAGATCAACATGTTCGTACAGATTGGCATGGCTTCATCAACACAGCTCAATCAAGTATTTCTTCTGCGCAGCGACTGCTCTTCGATATATTTTTTTATGGCAATTCTTTGTTAAAGAAATCATCGTTAAGATGGGCTTTCAGAATCTACCTATCTATCTACCTACGAGAATGTCATAAAACCAATTTGCCAAAGAACAAATTTATAGTATTTGAAAGTTTTTTGTTATTAAATTTGGGGTAATGAGGGCGTATTACCAAAAATCTAAAAATTACAATACGAGCTCAAATTACATAAACAGGTATACATTTTCAATTTCGAGACTCTAATTTTTGTGGATTTAAAGATCTCGGCTTTCATACGGATATAGAATGATTTTGATTTCAGCCCATCGTAGGCTTCAGGGCATATCTTAGTTGATCAGCCTATACTAAAATCCTTTATTAACGATAGGAAAATTCTCTAATATGTGGTAGGTATCCAAAATTTATAAATTATAAAATCTGTGTATTCATCAAATGTATATACACAGTAAATATAAACTCCTGAGGACTAATACTATTAAAAACATAACCTAACTTAAAATTCCAAATCTATCTATCGATTATTCTCGATAAAACATAAATCGGACAATTTGTCGAAAAAATATCATAAACTCGTACTGTGTACGGTATACGCATGCAAAATTTCTCTAGCCTTATTTCTTCTGAGATCTCGGCTCTATTGACGCAGCTCGTCGACCTGATCAAGAATATATACAGTGTACCAATATTGTCTTCGTACAACTGCAACTTTTTTGAATAAGACATATGTATAGTCGGTAACTAAACAAAGTTTGGATACAATTTCCTTATCTTATTTATTTATCAAAAAGGACGCGTTTTCTATAAAGTCCTATAAAGTCTTCGTACGCCGTACTTTCCTAGAAGTTTAGGTGCAGAGAGAAAACGTAAATTATAACGTTTGTTTTCCAATGTATTTATTTGCGTGCTCGGGCATACATGCATAAAATTTTGCAAAATTGAATCGTTAAGTGGACAGATATTAATTAAATATGCCGGGCAAATATTTACCTATAGACTAATTTTACTTCGCGCGTGAAAAGAACCGGAGATGCACTCCAACCAAAACACACACTCAAGACAGTAAGGCATGGCGGTGGTGGCTTTAAAGTATGGGGCTGTATGACTGCTGCTGGTGTCGGAAATTTCGACATATTTGATGGGGTGATGGACCACATTAAATACATTAAAATGTAAAAAAAAAAAAAACAAGTAAGAAAACTCTAGTCGAGAGTGCTCAACTAGATACTACCCTGAACCCAACTAATATAAATGCCCATTTACTATGGCTAAAATTTCAATTTCGATGTATTTAAAAATATAAATGAAATACAAAACTCACTTAATAAAATATAAAAATATTTT